GGGGGGGGGGGGGGGGGAGGGGAGGTGTGCTATGCACAGCTGTGAGCCCCATGCCACTCCAGCCCCATAGACTCCCCACAGATCTGGAAATGTGGCAGCAGGAGAGTGACTATTAACACTGCCACCACTGCCCCACTGCCAAATTTCTGGACCTGGGGGGCACCCTGTGGGCCAACTGACAGGGCTCATGTCATGAGCCAGAGGTTGAGCTCTCCTGCTTTATAATAATGTCAGAAGACCTGAATCTTGAACCTTCTGCTATGTAGTATAACATAGGAACAAGTTCATTTTGTGAGCTTGAACACGTTTGGCTTCAAGGCTTGACAGTTAAGCCTTGGAGTATGCACACCTCAGAAAGTAAAGATATTAAATCATGTTGCAAAACAAACACGTTTCTTTTTCTTCCTGGTTATAACACTGCCAGAATAGCAATTGGACACTTAAAGGAAAAAGTGAACAAATTCAAACACAAATATACTTTTTATTCAAAGAATTTATTACAGGGAAGAAACTCTCCAATCATTCAGAAAATAAATTACAGCATTTTCCAGATTTAGGGGAAACTTACAAGATAAAATGTCGACAGGATGTAATAAAGAACATAAGAAAACTGGCAAAACAACATTCCAGTAGCTCAGCATATCACATCTTCTAAGAGGTGTTTCTAAGTGGGTCATGTAAAAACAAAAACAAATACTTTGACATCTAGAGACAGTGTCAAAATCATCAGCCTTAAAAGGTACAATAACTCCACATTTTGGTGCTTCAAAACAGCTTCTAGTCTTATTTCTCAAAGTAAAAATGTAATATTTTCTAAATAAATAATTTTTGAGTCATAAAAAAATTGTATCACATACTGTAGATACTATAAAAGTATAATAGCTGTATATAGAAATGGTCAGAAGAAATATTAAATATAACATCTGAACATTTATTTCAAGACTAGAAAAATAAATCAGTTTGTCTATTACTTCTACAAACAAAAAACTGCTACCTGTGATATTTTGGATGGATTAAAAGACAGCCCACAAATATTTAAGAAGAAGTTAATTACAAAACCTAACCAAGTATGGTCTAAGATTTTCTAAAGTGACTACTGAATTGATTTTCTGGGAGTACCTGAGTTTCTCTGAGAGTCCGGCTGCTTTTCTCCTTTGTTACCACTATTTCAGGAAAAATTTGTATTAGCAACAATTTCAAACCTAGCATATAAGGTTCCTTCAGAAAGACCCATTTTTACCATCAGATTAATCAAGAGTGAATTTTAGCAAACATAAGTGTTTGTAACACTTTTATTAACATATGTTAATAAAATGACAGAACTTTTTCCAAAGCTGTACTAACACAAGTGTTATTTTTTTCAAGAATACACAGTATAGCTCTCGGCATAAGTGCATGCTCCTTCAGACCTTATTTACAATAAATTCCAAAAACTATCTTCTACCCCAAAAAGTAGAAAAATGGGAACAAGAGAAAGTATGCAAGTGAAACTGAAGAATTCACTAGCAGTATCCATTTGGTCCACACAATGCACCATAGTTATCTTTGTGCACCGTACTGAAAGTATAAAGAGTGGCAAGTCCTTTCTCTACTTCAAGTCCCTAGAATAAATAAGCAATCTGTAGCAGATGGTAGGTAGGGAAGGTCGTGGAATATACATGAAGACAACACTTCTCAAAGGACTCTAGTTACTGTAAGGGGAGGTCACTTTTCTTTCTTCAAAGTACTAGTCCCCATACATAGTCTATTGAGGATGGCTCCGAAAGCCAACTGGTAACTGCTCAGAATCTTTACTGACTAAAGGACTTTTACCAAAAAAAGCATCCCAGGAGATGCCTGTACTAGTGCATAATGTTTTATAAAGGTAGGTTGCAGCCTAACACATGATAATAGGAGTCATTTGAAAGGAAGGCCAGTAAGGCATTTTGGGTGCTAACAGAATATGCCCCATCATTTTCTGGGTCACGTCTTAGAAATGTCATGGGAAAAGAGAATACAATCAGAGATTAACTTTGAAAGACTGCATAAAAATTGCATCACCTTTCATAATCTAAATAAGAGGAACAAAAAGTCTAGGAGACTACTAGAAAAGTCTTGTTCTTTCCAAGTAAAAGGGCAAGACCCTCCTGACATCTAAGGAACATATCTGCATTTTTTCATGATGTGTCTGCATCTTGGGAAAGAATACAGATTAAGGTTGAATTCAGGGAACTACTGTTGGAAGAAGTTGTGGGTGTTGCCTAACAAAAACTACCATGATAAAATACAGTAAGTGGGGTCTGATAACAGGGGCCAAGCTCTCTCCTACTGAGAGCAGGGCTAGGTAGTAGAGGTAGAAAGCTGCAGAGCCCCAGGTAATGGACAGTTGATTAGATAACGGTCTGCAGAGCTACCCTCAGCTCAAAAGGAGAAGCAGCCAGGGGCTATATATATAATCCCTGCACTTGAGGCATGGATGGCAGTCTTGACCTAGGCAGAACTGGAGAAAGGGCTCACTGCTGGGAGCTCTGTAAAGTATTGTGAGGAGCTGGAGATTGACCATGACTGCTAATCAAAGGAGTTCTCCGCTCCTGAAACAAAGAAGCAATACCAGGGACTGGAGAAGGAACTGTGAGCAGGCCCATGAGAGCCCAAGCTGAGAGAAGCTAGCAGGACAAGCTTGGGGGGCAGATTAGAGAAAGGACCCCCCAGCTGCACTTAATTGCATTTGTGTTTGGCTTGGTGTTTGCTGTTTAGGCTGTGAGCTTCAGGAGTGGCTGAAGGGAAGGGAATTAGGCTACTAAAGATGCCCCATAGAGGGGCCTAACTTCTTGCCAGATTGGCAGATTGACAGAGGCCCAGTGAACAGTATGTCAGGCTGTCAGCACCCTGAGAGAGAGGGCAGAGGGGGAAAGCAAGGCACCCAGGACCACACATTGTCTAGAGGTACAGTATACCAGAGTATACTACCACCACCAAAGGCATGGAGGGGAAGACAGGAGGAGAGAGGAGGGGGAGGTGGTATACCCAGGAATACCAAAATATAAGGAGCCAGACTACAGTGATCACAAGGAGATGCCACTCCTACTGCAAGTGGTAGATCCCATTACATGCTCTCAATTCTCTTGCCTTCCTTTCTGACATTATACCCATAAGAGAAGCCACCTTCCTAGGCAAGCAGAAAAGCATAAGGGAAAAAGTTCAAATGGAGGTTTTGCTGTAACTGTGAACACTAAAGCAAAGTCTTGCAATGGTGAGTAGATGCTCACCAGCCCTTTCAAGCTAAAAACAGGTTGGGTTTAATCCTGTTCTGGGCTTTGACTAACATCAAAACAGGGACAGCTGCCTACACATGTATCTTGAATGGTAATTAACTTGAATTAGCTCCTGTTGTTCTGGAGCAACACGTTCAGGTAATTCACAGGTACTTAACATTAGGGTTACAATATAGTCTGGGTTTTCCCAGTGGTCTTCAGATGAATGACCTTTATCCCAAAGACATGGAACTCCTATTTCCTGGAGAAAAGTCTGCTGAGATTGCTGGCAACTATGCTCTAAGAATGCAGCAAGTGAATCAAAGTTATAATGATTTTATAATGTGTGTATGTGTGTGTACACGTGCATAGTATGTGTATATGCACCAATTCCAGAATCTTATTGCTTCGGCTTAACATCCAGAACACCAACTTCCCTGCTGATTATGCTTAAGGCCCTACTGGATTCACATTGGAAGTGGACTGCAGTGCAGCTCTTTTAATCTTGCAGGTTACCCCATGTGCCCCTCCCCACCAT